CTGTAAGAAGACAGAGGGTGGTGGTTGATGGGAAATGTTCATCCTGGAGTTCAGTTACTAGTGGTGTACCTCAAGGATCTGTTTTGGGGCCACTGCTGTTTGTCATTTTTATAAATGACCTGGATGAGGGCGTAGAAGGATGGGTTAGTAAATTTGCGGACGACACCAAAGTCGGTGGAGTTGTGGATAGTGCAGAAGGATGTTGTAGGTTACAGAGGGACATAGATAAGCTGCAGAGCTGGGCTGAGAGGTGGCAAATGGAGTTTAATGCGGAAAAGTGTGAGGTGATTCACTTTGGAAGGAGTAACAGGAATACAGAGTACTGGGCTAATGGTAAGATTCTCGGTAGTGTGGATGAGCAGAAAGATCTCGGTGTCCATGTGCATAGATCACTGAAAGTTGCCACCCAGGTTGATAGCGTTGTTAAGAAGGCGTATAGTATGTTAGGTTTTATTCGTAGAGGGATTGAGTTTCGGAGCCATGAGGTCATGTTGCAGCTGTACAAAACTCTGGTGCGGCCGCACTTGGAGTATTGCGTACAGTTCTGGTCACCGCATTATAGGAAGGATGTGGAAGCATTGGAAAGGGTGCAGAGGAGATTTACCAGGATGTTGCCTGGTATGGAGGGAAGGTCTTATGAGGAAAGGCTGAGGGTTTTGAGGCTGTTTTCGTTAGAGAGAAGAAGGTTAAGAGGTGACTTGATAGAGACATACAAGATGATCAGAGGATTAGATAGGGTGGACAGTGGGAGCCTTTTTCCTCGGATGGTGATGGCTAGCACGAGGGGACATAGCTTTAAATTGAGGGGTGATAGATATAGGACAGATGTCAGAGGTAGGTTCTTTACTCAGAGAGTAGTAAGGGCGTGGAATGCCCTGCCTGCAAAAATAGTAGACTCGCCCACTTTAAGGGCATTTAAATGGTCATTGGATAAACATATGGATGATAATGGAATAGTTTAGGTTAGATGGGCTTCAGATTGGTTTCACAGGTCGGCGCAACATCGAGGGCTGAAGGGCCTGTACTGCGCTGTAATGTTCTATGTTCTATATTCTATGAAGAAAAGAAGGCAAAAAGCAGATAACTATAAGCCAATTAGCCTAACATCTATTGCTAGAAAAGTACTGGATCAATTATTAAGGAATTATGGAGAGGCGATAATTTAGTGGTACTATCGCTGGACTGTCAATCCAGGGACCTATGTAATGTTCTGGGACCCAGGTTCATTTCCTGCCATGGTAAAGTGGAATTTGAATTCAATAAAAAAAAAAATCTAGATTTAAGAGTCCAATAGTGAAAAAACCTGTCACTAATGTCCCTTAGGGACGGAAACTGCCGCCCTTAACTGGTCTGGCCTCCACATGATACCAGACCCCCAGCTCTGCGGTTGACTCTTAACCGCACTCTGCGCAATGAAAAAAAAAGTGATAACTACATCCCACGAATGAATTAAAACAAGAACAGCATCTGGTTCACTACAATCCTTAACCACCTGCAGGCCAGATTGGGTAAGTTTTAACTGCCCTTTAAACTTCCCAACCAAGCCATTCCGTTTAAAGGCCAGAAGTCACACGTCACTTCATCTGACGAAGGGCAGTGCTCAGAAAGCCTGTGATTTCAAATAAACCTGTTTCACTATAAACTGGTGTCGTGTGACTTCTGACCTTGTCCACACCAGCACCTCAACACCATAGATTAAAGGCAATTAAGGGCAGGAATCAAATGTCCATCTTGCCACTGATGCCCAAATCTGTGAAAGAGTAAAAAAAAAATTGAAAAAGACCCATTACTGAATTATATGAACTACCAGAGAAGCATCAGTACAGATACACTGTAACTCATTAGTTTGAACTGAAATATTCATTACTACAAAAATACGTCCAGAATACTTCATGTGGCCACTAGATTATTAACTATGAAATGTTAATCCATCACACGTCTTAAAAATACAAAAAGTAAATTTTCCTTCTTTGATAATGATCACAGCATTGCAGTCAATTTCTCCAGATGTGTGGATGTGTTTCACAGTTAAGTTGATTTTTTAAAAACATAATTATGTTGCATTTCCAGAAGGAAATTACCACCATCCAAACAGTCTGAAGTTGGCATAGGGCAAAAGGAGTTTAATTATAGTCTGGAGTAATTTCTGAGAAAAAGGGCAATTGGCCTGATATATATGTGAAGTGGTAATGATAATAGTAGTAATAGTAGCATAGCACTATGGATTTTCTAACAACACACAGAATGAGTATACCAAATACAAAACCTCATGTGAAGAAATGAAAGCAAGTTGGGTGTAATTATAATGTAATGTTTCATCTTAACTATAATCTTCATCTTAGCTTGCACTAAATAATAAACTACAACTAAATCAATTTTAACTATTTTATTTGTGAAAAACTACAAGCAGAATTCATAAATAGACATTTCTATTTGAAGCAGATAAGGAGGAAATAATAAAGTGGCTTCTAATAACATATTCGTGCACATGCCAGTAACAGGAATATATTAACATCTTTTATTTGCTAGACAAAAAGCAGTGTAGATTATAAAGTCCCCAAAACATTTAAGATCTGGAAATAATTTTACCAGCTCACAAAACCACCATGAACACACCAGCATGAAGATTAAAGAAAACAAATCTAGCACGCTGTCAGCCCTATTTAATTTACAGAGCAAAAAACTTTCAAAGCATTATACAGGACATCTTTCTGGGCAAATGAAAATATACCTTGTATAATACAATAACAAAATTCACAAGATTATGTTATGCCACTTTAAACAAGCATTCTATATGGGTCTCCAAAGAACAAAGCTAAGAAATAACAATGTAACCATCTTTACACAGTAAATAAAGGTTACAAGTCATACACAAGAACAGAACTGCTTGCGCATTAAAAAAACTGTTCAGTTCGTTGTCATTTTCTAAATGTTGGCTCTCGAACCCTTTCAAGTTACTTACAAGCATTTTAATATTTCCAGCAAACATTACACTTTATCAATAATTTAAGTTACAATAGTTTATAAAAGTAGACTGAAATATTTTTGGTAAGGCAGATGAAGTGCCACTCTTTCCAATAAGGAATTTCCAGAAATAGTTAGAAATGTTTTTATACAAGTTTCATTAACTTTGAAAGTGGCTCATTATGTTTAAACACTTAACCAATTTCAACTTGCAGAATTACTGTCGCTTTAAAGACTGTTTAAAAAAAGTCTGTGCACCAATTCAGTCTACAGAATATAACATTAAAATAGTGACTAGTTTCCAAGTCATCAACAACATGCCTATTTGGCTGTGTAGTTTCAATTCAGGAGGCACTGCAGAAAAGCTGTCAGGTCCTAAGTTAAAAAAAAACTAGGCTAAGCAGCACATGGAAGCTGGCTATTACCCTAAAGGACAGCACCTAACCAAATAAAAATAGTTCTTCAATAGACTGCGGGTTCATTACATTACATGAAAATTGCATTCAGTTTTTGCCTGCCGTAGCATCATTGTGATATTTATTAAACTTCATTTTCCACTCTGATGCTGAATTATCTGTACAGCTAGTGTTCCATATGTTTCTGAAGGCCATTGTATTTAAAATAAAATTCATTCTCAAGTTTGTCACCTTCCGAAACCACAATATTAAGTGAAGCATTTTGTGTAAACTTTATTTCAAACAATTTAAGTATTAACACTGCACAGAGAAATAATAAATTCCAGAGATACAATTTACAAGAAAGAAAAATATCCAAGTTTGCAAAATCTAAGTGCATTGTTTTGCACAAAGCTAAATCACAGCATGGAAGTGAAACAAATCTTAATAGAAGGGAAGAATTGTCTAACTGTTACATGGGACTTGCATATGTACACATTATATCCCAGCCTTCATCAGCCCAACATTTAGCCATTAAGGAACAATGGGAATGCCTTCCTGTTAGTGACAATATCAAATAAATACTTAATATTTGATAATTAAATGCAAATTTAACATAAAAACTTGAAGATTTAAAAATCAATACATTACATAATGTATTTTAAGTAATTTACTAGTTATTCCAAATGCAAGAAACAATATCATAGTATTAAGTAAGTAATTTATGCTTGCTAATTGAAATTTAGAATAAATTCCTTCCATGAAACTCAACTGTTAGTGATAACTTATTTTTCCTCATGACCGTTTAAGATTAATGTGGAAGCAACAGACCACAGTACTTATTAGACAAATCTTTCCAATGTCATGTGCCAATGGTTGGCGATTGCTAGGTTCAAGGTCTCTGTAAAAGCATGCACTTGAGTATTTATCAAGATAACTGATCACACACATTGTATCATCATACAAGACTCGTCATTCATTATAATCAGAAGATGATTGTTCTTTGAGTTTCTCAATGTCTCACCAAGAAAGAAACACTACTTCCAATACTGAAGCTAGTTGTTTAATAACAGGAGGACTTTCTTCTAAGCAGGGGACAGGACAGAAAACAAAACAAAACATGGTACTTCAAATCCCAACAATTTTGCAGTTTTTAAACGGATTTTTTAAAAAGTGGGTCTCAAAACCAATTATTAAAAAAATGACAAAGGGAGTGCATAAGAACGAACAGACAGGATAATTTCAGTGTGCTGTTTTATTTGCCACAATTTAAATTACCCACAATTTAGTGACCTTCTGTAACCAGCATGGCCATGAACAGTATGGACTCAAGAAGAACACTAAGCTACGATTTGCTTCCGCCCATGGTTAGAGATTTCCTGTTGTTACATCCAACAGAAGCAAATTATTTTTATTTATGGAATGCCAAGAGATTCAGCACGACTTTCTCAATCAAGCTCCCATTGTTTGTCCCATTTTTAATTTACTACAGATTTAGCTTTAACTGTACAGATGTCAAAACAGTACGTAAAATACAAACATTACTGGCTGGTGCTTAAAACTGAAGGTGATACTTAATATGTCAAAATGTTTAAGTCGCAATGACCAATCCATATTTTAATTGTACAACTCATATTTTAATTATAACTACAGCAGTTTACTTGAAGGCAAAAATACTGTTTTTAAAAATGTTTCCTTTTTCAGAAATCAACAAATTCTTAGTCATTATCAATGCTGCTTCCGAATATGTATGCGCTGCTGATATCTACTTCCTCGGTAAAAAAACAAAGTCATTTACCATTAGTAGAATGCAGTAGGTGCACTCGAGCCAAGGGGTTCTTCAATGAATTGCCACTGAACAATTAAATATCTTTCTCCCCCCATTGGTAAGCTGTTTCAATTTGTATGTCAATATAAAACAAGTCGCATCATGCTGTCAAGTATGAGGCAATGTGTCTGTAGGTTAGTTAGGTGGCTGGGAAACTACAGCATTAAATGTGATTACATTTACAGCACACAATGATACAATTTTCAGGTAAGTGTAAGGAGGAACCCACATCTATTGCTTAATAGACACTGAACTAATTAAGCCATTGTTCAGTTGCCTCAAGTGTACTTCTTCTCAGTCTTTTCTGTTTCTGAGGAGTTAATCCTGAGGACAAGACAGCTTTCATTACAATAGTTTGCAGAACGTGATCAACTCTGCTGGAATGCACTGTCCTAATCTTATCCGTTGAATGCTGCATTTATTTCACAGTGTATTAAGCACCAGTGTTTTATGTGTTGGTTTCTAACAAACTTTTATTCTGTTTAAACCAGTTAGACATTTAACATTTCTAAAATTGCTAATAATCAGCACAGTTGCTGGCAACAAAACTTACAAAAAAGTATATGTTGGAAATGGTGGAATTTGCAAATGTAATAAATAAAAGTCAAATGTAACAAAATACATAATGTACATGGAAATTGTGCACAGATTTATAAAAAAGTAGATTCAGGAGCACATCCATTATAAATGATTGTTAGGAAAATATAAAACCAAGGGAATACATAAAAAATGTCAAAAGTATTCATTTATACTTTTCACATTGCATGTGCAGGTCTGGAGCATGGCAAAGCTCAGAACGATTCATCATTTACTGCTGACATTTCACCTTTTGGTGTAGAGGAACGCGATGAACCCTTGTCTGTGCTCTCTGATCCAGAGCTACTTTGGTTCTGTTGCTCAGATCCAGCACTGGATGTGACTGTTGACGATGATGTGGAAGAGGAACGTATTTTTTCTTTAAAGTCTGTTATAATTACTGTAACATTACCCACTGTCACTGCAAGCTGCTGTGCAGTACTTCTGTCTACATTTTTCAGCTTGGGCCTGTAACAGAAACAAGTAATTACAAGATTTGTATCATTTCAAAAATCAAATTATTTGCATTGCAAAAAAATAATTTTATAGCAAATTTTCTTAATTGCAACATCCAATATTTGTGGAAGTCATGGCTTTAAGAGTTGCTGACATATCCTGCCCAAACTTAAAGTTGTACATCAACGTATACAACATTATTTAATTTCTTAAAAGCAAGGAAACAGTGTTAACATAAAAGTCATTTAAGGGCTTTCATGGTGAAACCATTAAAGTTGTGTAAAATGAATGAGTACATTGAGTAACACTTGTTAGAAATACTCTATGACATCTAAACAAGTTCACATTAAATCTGCTCTAACTCAATGGACCCCTTCACACAAAATTAACACACCATTGCCTGTTGTTATGTGCTCCATAAATGCTTCTACTCAGACAAGAGCTATACATTGCAAGGCCTGCGACATTTACAAATTAGGAGATATAGACATCCACCATGGGTCATCTAAGAAACTCCATTCCATCATAACTACAAAAGCAAGAAGCTATCATAAACCTGAAACTTACAACATGCCACACAATAAATTCTATATTAGGGAAAACAGGCTGCAGCTTACAAAATATATTTAAGAAACATCAAACATACTTTAAATAGTGAATGGGACAAGTCAACTATCAAGCTTGATCACCTTAAATCGCTACCACATCCAACTGTACAACTCCAAACTTATCCATTATCACTGGTGTATCAAATGCATCAGGAAGATGCAGCAATATGACATCATTTCTCAAGACTGACTTCTCAATAAGATCAAATTAAGCTTGCTCAAGAAACACATTACCATCTATTCTACTCAGTCTACAAATCAGCAGTCCCATTACAAACATAAAAAAGACTGATCGATGAGTAGGAAAATCCAATCTATATTCTTATCTCTCACTACAAATCACAACCTCTTTTCACCTACTGAATCAATCATTCAATAACAGATAATATCTGCCGAATCAAATGCTACCAGTTCTAAGGAAAACAAGGTAACAACAGCTCTTTTCTGGTCAAATATGACATGGTGAACCACAAAATCATCTTACTCAATGCTAGTATATTTCCACTAAATCACCACCCTTGTGCAAAATCTGCATGAAATGAACAGTAAACATTTCAGAACAGACTGTAGCTAAAGCTCATTGCAAAGAAAGCTCTTAGCCTGACTCAAGTTGGCAAACACCATGCTTTGCTGAAAGCTTATTGTTGGAAAAATTGAGATGAATTTTTCATTAAATTTAAGAAATTGCTTGATTAGTTTTAATACTGAAGTATTTTTATGTTTTGTGAATGCATAGAAAAGTTATTCCAGCTACAATGAGGATATTGATTACATATAAAACCAGAGAAGAACTTGATTAATATAGTTCTCTACATTCATACCCCAAAGTACGCCACATGGATGATACTTCTTGCAATAATCACCTTATTTTATAGGCAGTCAATTTGTACACAGGTTGATCCCACAAAACAAATTATACTAGTCAATCTATATTTGCCAATGTTGGTTGAAATGAGAATGTTGGGCACAAAACTGGGTAACTTGATACCCTTTATCAAATGAAACACCACAGGAGCTTTCACTTTTCATCCAAAAAGACAGAGCAGAAGCAAAATATTTCAAGTGCCAGCAATCTGAAAAGACAGGTTAGATAGAACTAATGGCAAGAAAACAAAAAGTTAACACTTAAGACTCCTCAGAGTTGGGTGTACAGCTTGAACAGTTAAAGTAATGCAGAGCCAGGAAGAAGGTCTGTGGTAGGATTGAAGACAGAGGTGATAATGACAAAAGCAGATTTTAATTTTAATTAAACGAATAAGCAGGTCCAGGAAATGTGTAATGACTATAGCAGAAGCATGACCAGTAACTTCATATATCATTTTTGCCACAATTAAACATTACAAAAGCGCTTCAGAAGAGCAATCAAAAGAAATGACAGAGCCACAGAGATATCAAGACAGATGGCCAAAAAGCTTTTCTTTTACTTTATTCATGAGACGTGCGGGTCACTGGACAGGCATGTTCTAGATGACCACAGACGTTCGTAAAATTAGAAATCAAAATTAAGATACAGTCCTCAAATGAGGAAAACAAACTGAAAGGATGGCTGAAAAATGAACATATGGCCTGTGGCACACAAAACTGGAGTAGAAATAGGCCAGTCCTTGATCCTGCTCTACCATTCAATAATATCAATGCTGACCTGTTTCTTTCAAATTCCACATTCCCTTGTAGCCATCTGATTCTGTTACCAAATGAGATGCTGTTATACTCAGGGGCTAGTCATTTAAGGGAGGACTAGTACTGGTCAGTCAACCACACAAAATTCTGAATGCTAACAATACTGGAAACAAAGCTGTCAAACTGCATAAAACTACAAATCAGTTCACATGTTTCAATGTTCAGAATGGTTGAAAGAAGCAAGAGAAAACAAAGTGAACTGTGTCTGACTAAGATTTTGGTTAGGACACAGCTTTGCTTTAGAAGCTGCTGAACTGCGAAGTTGTTTTGGTTTTCACTCTCTCCAGTTATTTTCCAGTTATTGACTTGTTCTAAGTTCTGAGAAAATAACTCCAGTCTGAATGAAATAAGGACAAGTCTCTTAGAGGTCTGTGGAAGCTGTCTGCATTACCTTGTATTCTAAAGTCATTGGTCAAAGTGTCCTGAATGCCTGTAATACAATCCATTGTTAAACGGTTTCACAAAGGCCTGGTATTGATCAAATCAGCAAATTACAAATCTATTACATATTTATTAATTAGATTGCCCTGTAGCTTGTGTTCTACTAAAGTTACATTCTTGATAATAAATTGTTAATTTCTAAGTTATAATCTTGGGTGTCCAAGATCTGTAATTTGTAAAGTCTGGTTAGGAACAATTGAGCAATTTTGAAGGTCATGAATGCTTTAATGTCACTGTGTTGAAAATACAGGGATAGAGAGACTGACTTGGTTTGGCTTGCTACCTCTATGTCAAAACACTTCCTGACAAATTATGACTAGATGAAGTCGATATACTCAAACTTAAAATTCTAACTCAGAATTTGAATCTCTCAAGCGTAAGATCGACTGAATTATTGGTACTAATACATGTTGACAACTATAGGTTTGCAATGTTTGCAATATTTTATAACCAGTTATTAGTACATATAAGGGTTATTCTCTAAAATAAGCATTGTGATAGCTTTCGCAATTTATAAATGCAAACAATTCATGTAATGACTCCTCAACCCAAATTTCCAAGAAAAACACAAAATTGAAACAGATTAGACTGAAAATATCTTGTTTGGTTAAGTTGGTTTCCACTAATCTTTAGTAACGTTGAGCTTGCTTTCGAATGCTGTCCCTAGTCATAAAGTCAGGAATGTGAACTGACAGATGCGTTTAAAGCAATGGACTTAAGCTAGTGCAGAAGAGCAAATCTAGGATGTTACGATATAAATTTGGTAGCATATTAATTCATAGACATACCCATATATTCACTTCATAGGACCACGTGCATTTCAAAGCTGCTAATAACCTCACTCAGGAAAACAACTGTACATAACTGACCGTGGTACAATCACAGACAATCTAGGAATTACAAAGGTACCTTGGCATACTGCATCTGACTTTGAGCTTCATTCCCTTGACCAGCAACTGGGAAGCAAAGGGCAAAATTCTGAATGCTAACAATACTGGAAATGAAACTATCAAACTGCATAAAACTACAAACCAGGTCACATATTTCAATGTTCAGATTTGTTGTGCAGACAGAATAGTTTCAACTTGAGGTCAAAGTTTTCTGCCTGAAGTAAAACAAGTACTTAAGATTTCAGAAAATTACTGCAGATGCTGGAATCTGAAGTGAAAACAGAAAAAGCTAAAAATGCTCAACAGATGAGGTAGCATCTATAGACAGAAATAGTAAACATTTCATCAATCTTTAAAAAGTCATAAAGCTCCATTAACATCTGTCATAAGCTGGAGTTGCTGTATGTTTGCTGTTGCTGGATCAAAATCCAGAACTCCCTCACAGTTCAGAGAGTGTCCCCAAACTCCAAGGACTGCAGTGATTCAAAGCAGCTCACTACTACCTTCTCCAGAGCAATTAGGAATGGCTAATGAATACACGCCCAGCCAGCAATGTCCACATCCCATGAATAAATTATTAAAAGCTATTAATAATGTGCTCTCTTTGGAAAATGGTACCATTTTCCAGACTAGACAAAAATCAAAAGACTAATTCAAATGAGTTGTACAAATGAACTTGTAGCTTCACAAATTTCAAAGGAGTGTCTTTGGTAGGAGGATCCAAAATGACAAAAGACCAGCCATGGAAACATGTTACTTTCTTCAACATGAACACCTGGGCAATATTTGAAAAATAACATTTCTGATGTCAGAAATGTTGGACAATCATAATAAATAGCATCACCAATGCTTGTATCAATACTACATAACTAGTCAAAGAAGCATGTATAAGTGAACAGGATCAGATCCAGGGGACTGATTTTACTTTCCATCAATTCAAAATGCTAAAGAGATACTACTCAAAATATTATGAAATGAAGTGTGTTCCACCCTTGTCAGATCCATCAAGTAAGCTCTAAGCCATATTAAGTACACAGTTGTTTGCTGCTGATTTAGAACATCAGCGTTCCACTTAAGGTCAAAAAACAAAACATTTCATGCTGCACTTTTGTTCTAATTGCCAACCAATTACCTTGAAGTGTGTAAGCTGTCAGTTTTTGTTACAGCTTTCCCAGACTGTATACTGTTAATTTCACTCGGAGGTCCTTTTTCAAGTTCCATCTTCGGCCTGAAAATAAAGCCACACTATTATCATCATTGCATTACTTACACACACACACAATGCATTATTCTACCACAGAAAATGTTACCAAATTATTAATGATCCCGAAACAATTTTTGATGAAGCATAAAGCTAACAAACATTGGATTTCCATTGAATTATAGAATCCCTACAGTCTGGAAACAGGCCATTTGGCCCAAAAAGTTCACACCGTCCCTCCGAAGAGCATCCCACCCAGTCCCATTCCGCTACCCTTTCCCTGTAACGAGGCATTTCGCATGTCTAGTCCACCTAATTTACACACTCCTGGACACCGAGAGAAATTTAGCATGGCCAATCCACCTAACCCAGCACATCTTTGGACTGTGGGAGGAAACCAGAGCATCCAGAGAAAACTCAAACAAACACAGGGAGAATGTGAAAACTCCACACAAACAGCTGCCCGAGGGTGGAATTGAACCTGGGTCCCTGGCGCTGTGAGGCAGCAGTGCTAACCACTGAGATTTTACTTCATCTACCAATGGAATCCATACACTAAATATGCTCCCTAAATGTAATAAGCCACCATTACTCATTAAATTCAAAATAGATTTATACCAAAAACTAAACAGGATCAAAATTTGTGATGGCTTCTTTTAAAAGAAAATCAAGCCCCTTTCTATGCCTTGAGGTGCAAAGTTGCTTTCAACGGAATTCCAAGATGAGACTTCTTTATCGAATTTGCCCTGTTTATGATGATGCATAATCAACATTATCATAGTTGTCATGTTACCACAAAATTCCCTACTATTCTGGTGCAATTTGTAATGAGAATGGTGCACCTATACCACACATATCGTACTGCTCACCATCTGAAAGCATACCATAAGCCAAACTGCCAGTACTTAGCCAAAAAAAAAAACCTCCCCATACAGTTTATGTAGATAAGTAAACAAGCAAACAACTGGAGTATAATGTGGAGAAACATGAAATTTCCACTCTTCCTTCCAAATGGATAGAGCAGATGGAGTGTTTTGCTTTGGAAAAAGTGAAAGACCAGGAATGACTGGTATTCAGAGTTGCTTAGTGCCCTTGTAGATGATTCAGCAAGTTAATAAGTATAGCAAGCAATAGAAAGGCAAATGGTGTCTCATTACAAGGGGATTGCAGCATAAGAATAAGTGGTGTTGCTGACATGATGTAGGGCTTTGGTAAGACTATATCTGGAATATTACATATTGGTTTTGGTTTCTTGACCCAAGAATAGATGCACAGGATTGTTGATGGGGTGGGACACAATTTCTCACCAGAAATTGTGATCAGGGATGACAGCTATCTTACAAGGAGAGGATGGGCAAGAATGGGTTTATATTTTCTAAATTTAGAAAAATGTAAAGTCATCTTATTGAAATGTATACAATTCTTTAACAGCTTGACCAGGTGGATATAAAAGGAGCTGATAATCTGGGCTGGCACTCAGGAACTCAGGGCAACCTCAGGATAAGGGCATAGTCAGTTATGACTGTGATGGGAAATAAATGTCTTCATCAAGAGGCAGTAAATCTTTGGAATTCTTTACTCCAGTGGACCCTAGAATACAGTCACTGGCTGAGCACCAAGAATGAGATTGATAGAAATGAAGAATACACGGACAGAAGAACAAAATGGAGTTGATATTTTTATTTAAAAAATGCAAAATGGCTTTAATGAATGGCAGAGCAGGTCCAGAAGGCTGTATGGCCTACTTTTTCTCATGTCCTTTTGAATTTAAGCACATTGTACTGTGTTTCTGGAGAAAGTTGCACCAACCTACTGCTTTGTCAATGCTCCTGAATCGTCACTAAATATGAGATTAAAACCGGACAGAGGTCATAACTTATTGGATCTATTAACATACCTCTCCAAAAAAATCTTCAAATCGAAATTATAAATAAAGCATTCAGTTCATCTACAATTCAACTATGGAAATTTCACTGCCACACAGAAAACTAGAACTGACACAAATAATTGCATAATTCCACTTACTTTATCTTTTTATTGCTGTTCTTTTTGCTTGCATTTGAGCTTACTTCTTTCTCTTTGTCAGGCTTATCTTTTTCAACCTTTTCCTTCTTCTCTTTTTTTGGAGGTGGAGGTGTTGCATACTGCTGTGCTACTTGTTGTGCAACCAACTGAGAGTTTATTCTTGGTTTTCTGAAATTCAAAATGAGGCATTACTTTTACTGAGTGCATCAACATTCCTGCAAATACAAGTACACATGATGCAGCAGCTTACAAGTGTAAAACATATGCTGATACAAAACAAAAAACGTGCCAAGAGATACTCAGACTAAATTAATACTAAATTTGATGTTTAAATTGCTTTGAAAATATTCACGCACATTTGTAAAATATTACTTTCCATCCATATTGTAACACAATTATGTAAATGCCCATGAAGTTTCACATGGCTGTCCACAAAGGTGATGCTGAACTAAATAAGGTTAAGCAGCAGTGACCAATGTTTTGGTCAAACAGACACATTTTCAGGGTGATTTTAAAGAAACAAGGAAAGGTAGAAGGATTTAGTAAGGAATTTCTTCAGCAGGTGGTCTCAAACTTTCTTCAAACTCTAAAATATTTTTAAGACCTTAATTACAAACGATCAGTTCTTGGGCTGGATTCTCCACCCTGGACCATTTATGTTTTGTAATGTCTTTTGATAAATTTTGTAATTCATGCTGCATCACTTAAGGGATGAGAAGGAAAGAGGTGAATACACAGGGTTTGGGATCAAAATAAAATGTGAGGCTAAAGAAGATTATAAGGAGACAACTGAACATCGGAGACGAAAAGCCAAAATTTCAGAGTCTGAGGAAGACAAAAATAGGGTCAAAGTTGTTTTTTTGAGGGCTCGTCATGAGATTTTCAGGATGGTAATTGTTGATTTTTAACATTTGGTTTAGAAGGGGCACCTTTACCAATCTCATCAACTTCTTTAATCAGTGTGTTGTCATTCAGTAACATGGAAGTCTGTATTTTTGTTGTTTTGTGGGCTATTTAGACTGAGAAGAATTCATAACATCTTAAAAAATTATCACCTGTCAAATAAATCTGCCTCCAACACATTTACACCCTTCTTAAATAAGAAGACTAAGACTGCGTACAGCATTAACATCCTATAGGCCACGGTGTTTTCTTGTGCTAATTGAAACAAAAGTCATAAGCTAACAATAGCGGATTTTTATTTTTCCAATACAACTTAGGCACACTTCTAAACAAAAAAAAAATTACCTTAAATATGTCTGGCTGTGGTCCTCACCAATGGCAAAGCATTTTCATTGCATAAGTGCAAAGCTGAAGGATTTTAAACAGCTATTGCCCTTTTCACTGCATCTCAGAACTCAAGTTCAAATTATTAAAAAAAAGTTCATTCACAGGATGCAGGCATGACTGGCTAGGCCAGCATTATTGCCCATTCCTAATTGCCTAGAGGGCAGTTAAGTGTCAACCACACTGCTGAGAGTCTGGAGTCATATATAGGTCAGACCAAGTCAGGATGGCAGTTTCCTTCCCTAAAAGGACATTAGTGAATCAGATGAGGTTTTTTCTGACAAACAACAATGGTTGTGTGGTCATTATTAGGCTCTTAGTTCCAGATTTTTTTATTGAACTCAAATTCCACTACATGTCATGGTGGGGTTACCTGGTATCTGGATTAATAGTCCAGCTGTAATATCACTAGGCCATCACCACCCCACAAAGAAAATGGTTAACAACTGAACTTGCATTGATATCAAAGTGGCATCAGTTGTTCGTAGAAGAGACATCCAAACTTCTGCACCACATGTGGGTAGGAACATTTCCTACTTTTACTCCTAAAAAATCTCATCCTAATTTTTAGGACATGCTCCCTTGTCCTTGACTCAAATTCATTGATCATTTTCTTCATTATATTTCTTTCACTGCAACAAAAAGTGACTTCCAAAGTAGTTTATTAATTATAAAGCATTTTGGGGTGACCTATGGTCATAAAAAAACCACAAAAATGAAAGTGGTTTATTCGTGTTTGTAGTTTTAATATATGCAAAATTGTTTCATTTATTTCCAGCTCAGTCACTGCACTCATTTGATTCATCATATGTGGAACGCTTTGAGATGTGTTAACACAAATACATTTTTTCACTCAGTAAATAGAACTGTTCAGTAATAACTTATTTCATTAATGATGCTCATTAGAAAAGCCTTTCCCACAATTATTTTCCACAAAGATGCTCCTGAACTTATGCGTCTTAACCTAGATACTCCACATACCTGTGACAAGTTTTTCTGGATCCCAATTACATGCATACTCTTTTGCTGACTGGTTTAAAACTGTGTTCTCACTTCGCAGATCCTACCCTTTGTTGCAATACCCTCTTCACCATCAACCTTCAGCCATTTTGTATCTCACCTTTCACCATCAGTGCCCAGGCTCATGCACCACCATTTACTTTCTTGTTCACCTCTGTCTTTGATAAATATTAATGACTTGAACTTGGCTATACAGGGCTTAATTTCAAAGTTCAGAGATGACATGAATCTCAAATATTGCAAACAATGAGGTGGAAGATAGTAATAGACGCCATTAAGACAGATATACTGGCAAAATGGGCAGACATATCCCAGATGAAATTTGATATAGAGAAGCATGAAGTGGTATTACCTCATTTCATTTTTCCTACCAAAATATAGAAAATTAAAGACTCAATTTTAGAAAGGTATGATAAATGGAGACAGGTCTTTCTACATGGCAGGAAAAATTAACTGTTTAAAAAGAGCCATGCAATCCTTGGCTTTATAAATTAAGGTACAAGGTAAGGTCAATATGTTCCAGAGGACCATAGCGCTGCTCTATCAAACAATAGAGAGACAACTGGTGATGAGTTTAATCTGAGGGTCACCACACCTCAGGTGAGGAGCAAGATCGAGAAGGCTGGACCTTCCTGGTGACAGCCAGTAGGAAGACAGCACCTGTGCTTTTGACATCACACTGCGGTGCAAACAAGTCCTCCAGCCACCTGAGCTGACTGACCCCCAAGTTGGGCAATTACAGACCAATCAGCTTAACTTCAATATTGGGCAAACTTCTAGAAACAAATCTATAGGGCAGAATTAGTAGTCACATGGAAAGGCATGACATACATGGGCTTCTAAAAATGATATTCAATACAGTACACAAAACAGACTTGCAAAGAAATGTTGTAGCTCATGGAATAAAAGGGACAATAGCAATGTGAATACAACATTGGCTGAGTAATAACATACAGAGTAGTTGTTAATGGGAGTTTTGCAGGCAAATGCAAGGTTTTTGTGAGGTTCCCCAACAGCTGATGATAGTGACACCCTTGCTTTTCCTGCTATGTGTATGTTAATGGAACTTGGTGTGCAGGAAACAATTTTAAAGTTTATGAATAATACTAAACTTGGAAGCATTTGAGGGAGCACAACAGTGTGGAATTCCAAAAGGACAAATGACAGGAGTGGGCAAGTACATAGTAGATGGAATTCCATGCAGGCAAGTGGTGCATTTTGGTGGGAAGACAATGGACAGAGGGAAAGAAAAGGTTCACAATACTTAAGCAGGTACTGGAGCAGAGGGACCTGGCGCATATGTGCTTAAATTAATGAAGGTGACATGAACAAAAAATAAAGCCTACCGTACCCCGGGCATTATTAATAGGGGTAACACAATACAATCAATGAGAAAGGATGTGAACTCCTTGGAGATGAAGTACTGAAGAAATTTATAATTATGATTCCAAGGATGAGAAACTTCAGTTTTCGTTGTAGATTGGAAGTTTTGGGATGGTCGCCCTTGGAGGCAAAGACAACTAAGAGGAGATCTGATAGAGGTTTTCAAAATCATGGGAGGTTTGAATAAAACAAAATAGGGAGCAAAAAAAAAAGTGTTCCTGCTTGCAAAAGGATCAAGAATGAGAGGGGTCACATTTAATATGACCAACAATCATAGCAAATGTAAAAAAAAAAAAACTTTATACACAAATTGCTTGGGTCTGGAGTGCACTGCCTAAGATGTGTGGTGTAGACAGAGCCAACTAAAGCATTCAGCAGGGCACTGGATGATTATTAAAAGGTATGGAAAAGACAAGCAAATGTCACTAAATCATAATGCTCCTACATGAGCAGGGGCAACACTTCTATATCATAACTGTTACATAATTCAGTTACAACCTTGGATGAAACTCCCAAATTTACTGAAATGGATGAAGTTTGGGGATCCAATATTTTTAGTAATCAAATGAAGGCTACACAATTTTATGGATTTCAACAACCAACAATATTTTACTCTTTTGATTTGTAATTCTAAAATTTGAGTCCAAGAAAGATATTGCAAGGTAACATTCAAATAAACCATCAGACAAACAGATTTACCAACAAACTCTGGTCATGCACAATAGCCTGCATGTTGAATGGCAGATATAGCCAAGATAAACCCCACACATTTGATAGTAATTACCAACATCTGTGTATGTTGCTGAATCACACCAGTCTCTTAAAAACAAATCTCTCTCAGGGATTTCACTCTTCAATTTCAATACTCTACTCCTTGTTTTCCTTGAACATCACTCTGATTGGAAAGTGAACACTTTATCATCTCCTGATGGCTCTGTCTTGCCTTCCGGATGGTATGCTGACAACAACTCCTTGCTGAATCTTCAGCTCCACCCACATGGAACCTGCTCAGAGCATCATTAATTTCCTTCATTCCTCTACTGGTGGTCACTTCTCTTTTGTCTCTATCCGGTGGCTCAGGAGATTTCTTCTTTCTTCCTGGCTCTTGTTAACTTTGGTTTTACTTTCTTCTGGTTTCTCAGTTGTTTTTCTCAGAAGTCCTAAAACCTCCTGCATACTATCTTCAGTGACTCTTTTTTAAATTCAAGTTACCATTGTCATGACTACATCTCTTCAAATGTCTTAAACCATCTTTGGAATCAGCTTTTCACTATACTCTAACACCACTTTTGGTCTATTCGCCTCTCTTTTTATAAAGCCCAGATTGGATCACACAACCCATGGTTTTCATGCCATAAAGTCTGGCGAGATATGGGCCAGGAATAGGCAGGTGGGACCAGTTTAATTTGGAATTACGTTTGGCATGGACTGATTCTAGCGTCTGGATGACTCGGACTTGTTTGCCCAACTCTATGACT